CAGCGAATCGCTGAGCCTCGCTCAGTCAAACAAATAACATTCCAAAGCATAATGATGTCTTGTCGTGCACTGCAGTTTTCCCTACACAGAGCCAGCTTCCACACCCACTACAAGACCAGAGACAAATTATTCATAATAAAAAATCATTGTGAAATGATTAGTGGTTTCATACATCAGGTTTAGCCTCTGTGTTCTCTGCAGCCTGACTGAATGCAAACAAAGTGTTTGTTTCTCTGCCTAAGATGTTCACCTGGAGTGGGAGAGTCGTTTGGCCAAATTCATGAAAACAGAAGAGGCCATCATCTACTCTTATGGCTTTGCAACAATTGCTAGTGCGATCCCTGCCTACTCCAAGAGGGGGGACATCATCTTGTGTAAGCTTTGTCTCTGCTGACTTGTATAAAGCAGAAATTACACCCTGTACAGTTATCTGTCAGTCAGGTTTGTTCCACACAGACAAACACATCTAAGGTCTGCAGCCTTTTTATGTTTATATTGTGTCATTGCATCGTGTTCAGGGATGAAGCCGCCTGCTTCTTTCCATTCAGAAGGGTCTCCAGGCGTCCGCAGCTTTATCAAATACTTCAAACACAACGACATGGAGGACCTGGAGAGGCTGCTCAAGGAGCAGGAGCTGGAGGACCAGAAGGTCAGCGCAGGGCTGAGAGTGGCTGTCACAGTGTCCTCACTCTGTTTTATCAACGCTGTGTGTCTCACTGTCTGTTTTTCTTTCTTTTGCAGAATCCTCGTAAAGCGCGAGGTGACGCGGAATTCATTGTGGTGGAGGGGCTCTACATGAACACTGCAGACATCTGTCCTCTCCCGAACTGGTAAACAAGAAAACTAATGGACCACAAAGGCTGCTGATTATACTTCATCTCATTGATTCATGAACTGTGTCAGGCTTATAATCCCTATGTAACTTTCTGTCAAGGGAACTTGTGGTTTAGTGATTATCACGAGGCAAATGCACATTCATACAATGTTTGCAGGTGTTGTGTAACAATCAGCACAAAGGAAATGATAATGTTTTCAGCCACAAAGGGTCGTACTCAGGTAAAGGATTCAACTCAACTCGACGAGCAGTTTGGAGTTTAGAGCTCCTATTGTTTACTAAAATATTCTTAAAGTGAGAGTTCATGTTATTTGACACGGGGTTGTGTGAAGCACTGCGATCTATAGTCAGTGTATTGTTTTTAATAATCTTTTTATTCAGGATGCAACAATCCATAAAGAAATCAGATTTTTTAGCTCAGACCAGAATACACAAACGCTGTCTCTGTATAGAAAATAATACGAATAATAAATTGTTATGTATGCATCAATTATATTAAACATACAACATTCAAATACTTGAATATTAATTTGTAATAACTAATATTATTCAAATTAAAAGTGAAAAAAGGAAAATTATATAAAGAGTGAATAAAAGAAAAAAATAAATATAATAGTCAGTGTATCACCTGCAGTAGATTAAGATCAGCTCCCATGTGAAGCAGCAGGAGCTGAGTGCTGCGCTGCTGTGGACAGGGTCTTTTGGCCACTTAAAAAATACCTGCAGAAAAAAAACTAATATCATTTGAAGTGTACAACATATTTAGAATGAATTAAAATATGGAACTGAAGGATCCTTTGCCTGTAGAAGATCCAGTGGTTTAAAAGCAAGGAACTAAAATTGGTTACATGATGTTGATCGCATTAAGCAATGTAGATGTTCTACAACAGTTTAGTCCTGTGACATCATCTGCATGATCAGCTGGTTCACCTGGTGAAAACTCTGAAGCAAACTTTGAACCGGCGTCTTCGTCTGTGGAGTAGTTCTGCATTCACACACCCCCGTCGTCATGAAGGAGGAAATTAGCTCTAGAGACCAAAACTCTAATGACTCCAGTGGTCATTAGAGGGTTTTGGGGCTTCACTGTGGGCTTTGTGTGTTCAGAGTGTAGTCTGTAGAGTGAGCCGTTCTGTGTTAAAGAACAGAGACTTTTGATGCTTGAACTCACAAACATGGAAGATGTGTCTGATGTGGCGACTCCAGGTGTTTCATTCTTCATGTCTGTGTGACCTCCAGGTGAAGCTCAAGTACAAGTACAAGGTGCGGATCTTCCTGGAGGAGAGTCTGTCCTTTGTGTGTTGGGAGAATACGGCCGAGGAGTCACAGAAACATTTTGGGGTTGATGTGAGTAAATAAAGATGTTAACAAGCTGCTGCCAGGGTTGATGTGTTGTAGTTGATCTTATTTATTTTGATCTCATTTATTTTTATTATTTTAAGGGTTTTATTAGTTTAAGGGTTAGGGTTCTAATTGTGTATATAGATATATTATTTATTCATCAAATTTTTTAGATTTATTTTTTTATTTGTTTTTCCATTGAATTGTATTTAAAGTTGAAGAAAGTCCACTGTTAAAAAGACAAAAAAGTTTTTGTTTTTTTTTAAATTCAATAAATGTGTGATGTTTACAAAGTCAATGAGTAATCATGTTGAAAAGTCCTGATCTCAATATTAATCAAAAATAATCCTGATTATGATTTTTGCCATAATTTAGCAGCCCTGATACAAATGTTCTGCTAACTCTCATTTGTCTGTTAGGAGCTGTGCCACAGTTAGAGCAGTAGGTCAACAGCTGAACTAAAAAAAAACAGCCCGGTCTGTTTGTCTCTCAGCCTCGTGCCTGCAGGTGCCGTCCTCTAATGTCTGCAGCATGTCAGCCGATACATTGGTTGAATTCATTGTTTGAGTAATGATTTATTGCAAATTAATACTTAAAACTTTTCCAATGAACAAAATGAGATGGCGCAGGATCCAGAGTAAACTGAAATCTGAAAACATGAAGTGAATATTTTGGCGTCTGTTCTGCTTCCGTGCAGATAGACGACATCGACCTGATCAGTGCCAACATGGAGAACGCTGTGGCCTCCATCGAGGCTTCTGCTGTGGACGCTCCTTTGTCATCGACCACCAGGTAAATACAACATAAGTCTTATTGATACTGTTAAATAAATGACCGTGAAAGTGTCTGATCATTAGGATTAATATACTTATAATCAAGTTAATACAGTGTCACTGCTCAGTAGAAAGCTTAGACACATACTTTGATACAGATCCTTGTCATAGCAGGAAATCACAGCTGTTTAGTAACGTTAGTGATGGCTGCCTTCCATTCCAAGAGCCAGGGAAGCCTCTTGTGTTTGACAGGTCAGTGTCCACGTGAGAAAATCTACTGCTGTATTGGAAGTTTGAGATCATCTGTATCTGATTTTTTTATTTAATTTTTCAGTTATTGGAGTTATAAGGCTCTCTCTGCTTTCTGAGCCGTTTTGATAATTTGAGCCTCAAAGTTTTTGCTTCCAAATAGCAAAACTGATGTGGAACAGATCAGATCTCTCATACATTAAAGGACAGACACACTAAATCAATACTATTCAAATTGTAATTAAAAATCAAATTCATTTTGGGAAAAAAAGAAAAAAATATGGACAAATGAATGAAGTTAGACCAGATTAATTAAAATGTAGACTATTTAATTAACTGTAAGGCATTAGGTGTCTAGCGTGCTAGCATGCTAACAGTGAAAATAAACTCTTCAGCAAGATCTAAAACAAATGAAAAAAAGTGAATAGAAAATATAAATTAGGTAATACATGTAGAAATATATAATATATAAGTGAGTTAATAATTAAATAAATAGCTATACAAATGAATGAATAAAATAAACACATAGATAAATAGTTTATTTTTAAAATGACCTTTTAATTTATTTTATTTTATTTCTATTAGTTAATGTGTAATGGAAAATAAATAAGTTATATATTTACATTTACTTTTATCTACATTTATTACATAATGGATTTATTTCAGGATTTATTTCGTAGCTGTATTTTATTTATTTATGTATTTATTTATCCATTAAATATTGATTTAGATGGCATTCCAATACTCCTGGTGGTCATTACTTTAATATTCTGCAACACAGGAAGGATTGGGAACAGATCTGAGAACAGCTTCTTACTAAAACATTTTTCTAATCAGCAAGAATTAGAAATGAAAGGCCTTTCTCTGATAACACCTCGTCTCAAAACACAGATCTGCCCAGAAATAGAACAGGGCTCAAAGCTCGTACCTGGATCCTCCTCCATGATGTTCAGAGCTTCAATGGCAGCAGCAGCCAACATGGGAGGCAGCGACGCAGAGAAACAGTAGCCCTGACCTGACAGACGCTACACACACACACACACACACACACATGTCATTAGGATAAGTATTCTGACACTAATCACAGAAATATTTATATTGAAGTAATGACCACCAGAGTATTGGAATGCCATCTAAATCAATATTTAATGGATAAATAAATACATAAATAAATAAATACAGCTACGAAATAAATCCTGAAATAAATCCATTATGTAATAAATGTAGATAAAAGTAAATGTAAATATATAACTTATTTATTTTCCATTACACATTAACTAATAGAAATAAAATAAATAAATTAAAAGGTCATTTTAAAAATAAATCTATTTATCTATGTGTTTATTTATTCATTCATTTGTATAGCTATTTATTTAATTATTAACTCACTTATTACTTATATATTTCTACATGTATTACCTAATTTATATTTTCTATTCACTTTTTTCATTTGTTTTAGATCTTGCTGAAGAGTTTATTTTCACTGTTAGCATGCTAGCACGCTAGACACCTAATGCCTTACAGTTAATTAAATAGTCTACATTTTAATTAATCTGGTCTAACTTCATTCATTTGTCCATATTTTTTTCTTTTTTTCCCCAAAATGAATTTGATTTTATAAATTTGACAGGATTTTGATATTGTACATGTAGAATACATTTAGTGTGTCTGTCCTTTTAATGTATGAGAGATCTGATCTGTTCCACATCAGTTTTGCTATTTGGAACGCAAAAACTTTGAGGCTCAAATGGTCACAACGGCTCAGAAAGCAGAGAGAGCCTTATAACTCCAATAACTGAAAAATTAAATAAAAAAATCAGATACAGATGATCTCAAACTTTCAATACAGCAGTAGATTTTCTCACAGTGGACACTGACCTGTCAAACACAAGAGGCTTCCTGGCTCTTGGAATGGAAGGCAGCCATCACTAACGTTACTAAACAGCTGTGATTTCCTGCTATGACAAGGATCTGTATCAAAGTATGTGTCTAAGCTTTCTACTGAGCAGTGACACTGTATTAACTTGATTATAAGTATAATTAATCCTAATGATCAGACACTTTCACGGTCATTTATTTAACATGTATCAATAAGACTTATGTTGTATTTACCTGGTGGTCGATGACAAAGGAGCGTCCACAGCAGAAGCCTCCGATGGAGGCCACAGCGTTCTCCATGTTGGCACTGATCAGGTCGATGTCGTCTATCTGCACGGAAGCAGAACAGACGCCAAAATATTCACTTCATGTTTTCAGATTTCAGTTTACTCTGGATCCTGCGCCATCTCATTTTGTTCATTGGAAAAGTTTTAAGTATTAATTTGCAATAAATCATTACTGCAAACAGTGAATTCAACCAATGTATCGGCTGACATGCTGCAGTACATTAGAGGACGGCACCTGCAGGCACGAGGCTGAGAGACAAACAGACCGGGCTGTTTTTTTTTAGTTCAGCTGTTGACCTACTGCTCTAACTGTGGCACAGCTCCTAACAGACAAATGAGAGTTAGCAGAACATTTGTACTAGGGCTGCTAAATTATGGCAAAAATCATAATCAGGATTATTTTTGATTAATATTGAGATCAGGACTTTTCAACATGATTACTCATTGACTTTGTAAACATCACACATTTATTGAATTTAAAAAAAAAACAAAAACTTTTTGTCTTTTTAACAGGGGACTTTCTTCAACTTTAAATACAATTCAATGGAAAAACAAATAAAAAAATAAATCTAAAAAATTTGATGAATAAATAATATATCTATATACACAATTAGAACCCTAACCCTTAAACTAATAAAACCCTTAAAATAATAAAAATAAATGAGATCAAAATAAATAAGATCAACTACAACACATCAACCCTGGCAGCAGCTTGTTAACATCTTTATTTACTCACATCAACCCCAAAATGTTCTGTGACTCCTCGGCCGTATTCTCCCAACACACCAAAGGACAGACTCTCCTCCAGGAAGATCCGCACCTTGTACTTGTACTTGAGCTTCACCTGGAGGTCACACAGACATGAAGAATGAAACATCCTGGAGTCGCCACATCAGACACATCTTCCATGTTTGTGAGTTCAAGCATCAAAAGTCTCTGTCTTTAACACAGAACGGCTCACTCTACAGACTACACTCTGAACACACAAAGCCCACAGTGAAGACCCAAAACCCTCTAATGACCACTGGAGTCATTAGAGTTTTGGTCTCTAGAGCTAATTTCCTCCTTCATGACGACGGGGGGTGTGTGAATGCAGAACTACTCCACAGACGAAGACGCCGGTTCAAAGTTTGCTTCAGAGTTTTCACCAGGTGAACCAGCTGATCATGCAGATGATGTCACAGGACTAAACTGTTGTAGAACATCTACATTGCTTAATGCGATCAACATCATGTAACCAATTTTAGTTCCTTGCTTTTAAACCACTGGATCTTCTACAGGCAAAGGATCCTTCAGTTCCATATTTTAATTCATTCTAAATATGTTGTACACTTCAAATGATATTAGTTTTTTTTCTGCAGGTATTTTTTAAGTGGCCAAAAGACCCTGTCCACAGCAGCGCAGCACTCAGCTCCTGCTGCTTCACATGGGAGCTGATCTTAATCTACTGCAGGTGATACACTGACTATATATATTTATTTTTTTCTTTTATTCACTCTTTATATAATTTTCCTTTTTTCACTTTTTAATTTGAATTAATATTAGTTATTACAAATTAATATTCAAGTATTTGAATGTTGTATGTTTAATATAATTGATGCATACATAACAATTTATTATTCGTATTATTTTCTATACAGAGACAGCGTTTGTGTATTCTGGGTCTGAGCTAAAAAATCTGATTTCTTTATGGATTGTTGCATCCTGAATAAAAAGATTATTAAAAACAATACACTGACTATAGATCAGTGCTTCACACAACCCCGTGTCAAATAACATGAACTCTCACTTTAAGATATTTTAGTAACAATAGGAGCTCTAAACTCCAAACTGCTCGTCGAGTTGAGTTGAATCCTTTACCTGAGTACGACCCTTTGTGGCTGAAACATTATCATTTCCTTTGTGCTGATTGTTACACAACACCTGCAAACATTGTATGAATGTGCATTTGCCTCGTGATAATCACTAAACCACAGTTCCCTTGACAGAAAGTTACATAGGGATTATAAGCCTGACCAGTTCATGAATCAATGAGATGAGTATAATCAGCAGCCTTTGTGGTCCATTAGTTTTCTGTTTACCAGTTCGGGGAGAGGACAGATGTCTGCAGTGTTCATGTAGAGCCCCTCCACCACAATGAACTTCCGCGTCACTCGCGCTTTACGAGGATTCTGCAAAAGAAAGAAAAACAGACAGTGAGACACACAGCGTTGATAAAACAGAGTGAGGACACTGTGACAGCCACTCTCAGCCCTGCGCTGACCTTCTGGTCCTCCAGCTCCTGCTCCTTGAGCAGCCTCTCCAGGTCCTCCATGTCGTTGTGTTTGAAGTATTTGATAAAGCTGCGGGACGCCTGGAGACCCTTCTGAATGGAGAAGCAGGCGGCTTCATCCCTGAACACACGATCAATGACACAATATCAAACATAAAAAGGCTGCAGACCTTAGATGTGTTTGTCTGTGTGGAACAAACCTGACTGACAGTAACTGTACAGGGTGTATTTCTGCTTTATACAAGTCAGCAGAGACAAAGCTTACACAAAGATGATGTCCCCCCTCTTGGAGTAGGCAGGGATCGCACTAGCAATTGTTGCAAAGCCATAAGAGTAGATGATGGCCTCTTCTGTTTTCATGAATTTGGCCAAACGACTCTCCAGCTCCAGGTGAACATCTTAGGCAGAGAAACAAAACACTTTGTTTGCATTCAGTCAGGCTGCAGAGAACACAGAGGCTAAACCTGATGTATGAAACCACTAATCATTTCACAATGATTTTTTATTATGAATAATTTGTCTCTGGTTCTGTAGTGGGTGTGGTGAAGCTGGCTCTGTGTAGGGAAAACACTGCAGTGCACGACAAGACATCATTATGCTTTGGAATGTATTTGTTTGACTGAGCGAGGCCTCAGCCGATCGCTGGCTTGTCTCAGATCAGCTCTGCCCAGGCTCCATCAGACACTGGAGCCAGATTATCCAAACTTGAACAAACCTTTACAAGCATATGCTGAACAGCCTCTGTGTTGTCTACAGTCTATTACATGATCTTGATATCAGGTGGTAGAAAGTTGATAGAAGAAGAAAAGAAAGGAAGAATTTTTTTATTCACCAAAAGTTCCATAGAAGCCTCTTGGACCACATGTGCCCACACCGTATTTCTTCAGTGATGCCAAAGCCTTTTGCTGTTGTGAGGAGGAGAAACAGGAAATGAAAAAAAAAACACAAGTACAACTATTATAACAGCTAACTGCCATTATTATTAGTGATGAGCTACTGGACACATGAATTTCCCCTAGGAGATGAATAAAGTCAGTATCTATCTATCTGTCTGTCTGGCCTATCTACCTATAGGTAGTAATTGCTTAAATAGTAAGTACTGACCTTAACCCGCTCGTTGTCAAGGAGACCAAGGAAGTTAAATGATGCAAAATTAATGCACTCTTTCCCATTGATGATAATTTTGTGGCTGGGAGGTCTGTAAAAGAAAACAGTGTTTAAATGCTCAGTTCAGACCACAGTGCACCAGCTACATATTACATAAGCACCATAACAGTGTTGTGCATTTTTAGTCTGATTATTTTTACACCACAGTGCTCTGAGCAATTTCCAGGCAGCCACTGGTTCTCCATTCACTTCAATGAGGTATTAACGTCAACTTAATGATGTTAAGTTTCAAACAAGTTCATTCTTCACTGCGAAGGTAGATACGACCCATGAGATATGAGAAAAAGCACCTTTGTTTTTTTTTTTTTGTTTTTTTGTTTTTCTTGAGTTAAGACTTTTTTTGGCAAATGGCACATGAACTGTTGGGAGTTTTCTATCAGATGCAGAAACACCGGTATGGTGACTGTTGGGCAGAAAAGCAAGTGGCAAACAGACACAGAGCAAGTATCTGGATTTGAAACCAGCGCTATTTAAACACGGGTTTAGGACTGGATAAACACAGAGAATAACAGCAGAGAGTCGGAATGGAATGAGATTCAACAGCTGATAAACTGAGAGACTGACAGAATAAACCACTGCAGTGTTTGTGAGTCTGATGGGATTCCATTACACTTTTTTTTGAAAGATTTGTGACCCAGATATGTAGAGAGCTGGACATGTTACTGCTGGTTCTCTTTTTGGACAATCTGTCTGTGTGTGTGTGTGTGTGTGTGTGTGTGTGAGATCATGGAAAAAGGTGGTCCTGGAGACACCTACTCTACTACCACAGAGGTGGTTTTAAAGGAGCTATTTGTAAGTTTTGCTATTCCTACATAGCTAATGTTAGCATTAACGGGTGTTTACTTAGGCCTGCCAGTCTTGCTGAGAGCTTCAGCCATCGTTACAACAGATTATGAATATATATATATATATATATGTATATAATAATTTGCCAATGTGAATTCAGATAAATGCTGCAGTACAGGCTCATCTCAGAGTGTTGAAAGTTTTCTGAGAACCTCGTGGACACTTGGTTTCAGCCACTATGTAAAAGCAGTAGGTAAGGCAGAGAAATGTACTGGGGGTTTTACCCGGTGACGACATCGTAGTTGAGGGAGGGGTGGTCTTTGGATACAGGAGGAACCAGAGGCTCTGGCTGCCACTCCTCAATCAGGTCTTCTTTCTCCTGTAACATGGACCCACATGACATCATAAGTTTGGTGACACATTGACACAAACACTGCTGTATCTTTATTGAGGTTACCTTCTCTGTCAGTTTATAGGTCTCATGAAGTTTGTAGGTCTTGGAGAACAGGAGTCTGATGATCCACAATATGAGGATCCCCTCCAGGATCAGGTGGTAAGCAGGAGCCTGAGGTAGACAGGGACATGATGATTGTGGTGGACTCAGAGTGTCTACATATTGTCTTTTCATCAGTCACATTTCCTTTGATTTTTTGCCCCAGTTTCTTGTATCTGTACAAATTAAGCATGTTTCCTATGGAGAATATGATTACAGGCCGGGGTGTCTCTGTAGCACCACAATACTTCATTTATGGTCTGTTGTAACACATTTTACCTTTTCATTGAAAAACTGCAGCTCCTTTGATCTGAATATTGCAATTTCAATAATATTTGGATTAATTGTTCAGCCGCACTATCAATATGAAAAAAAAAGTACTGAAAACTAATCATTACTTTAATGTCATTTGTGTGTCAATCAACCGATTGATAAGAAACAATATAATAGTGATTTAACCTGTGTCTCAGCACAACAGTTCAGGACTTAGGTACAAGGTTATTTTAATTGTATGGCAAAATAAAGTGCTAAAGTTTATGCTCATTCAGTCGTTCAACAACAGAATCAGAAAACAAATCAAATGAGAGCAGTTCAACAGTTTGTGTGTGGACATTGAACAGCATTTCCAGGTTCAGCTGGCTCAGCGTGGATGTAGCTAGCTAACGGGCTTACCAACATCAGTCTACAATAACTGTCAGAAGCTGAGAGTAGTGTAGACACCTTGACATATTTTCCACAAAATATTCCACGACGATGTAACTTCACTTGACCAGCTGTTCAACCTCTAATTTATTCTGAAGTGAAATTGTTCTGTGGAAAAAGTAAGTTTCCATTTAAAGGAGGGAAAAAAAAGCTCAGATAAGACATTTCATAGGGCTTTAATTTTTAAATTCAACATCAGATTGTCCTGATATTGTGTGAGTGACAGTCTGAGATGGTGGACTATCATTCTGACTGAAATATGTCTATGGAAAGATGATTTGGAAAGATGATGATTAATTTTTTCGTTTATTTTTCATTTATTTATTCATTACTGACTATCTGACTGACTGACTGGGAATTTGATTTGATTTTGATCAGTTTTACACGCCGTATACCGTTACCGTAATGCCAAGTATAGACACGTACAGCAGACCAAAGTGGGGGCTAGCTTTACCGTATTCCTGCTTGACACTTTTTATATAGTCTGTGACTTCACCGATTTCGCCATACAGATACTGTCAAACCTAAACTAACAATTGAACAGACTTGTAAGAACAATAAAATCCCTGAATGTGCTTCTGTACAATTCTGCATTTTGTTTCATCCATATGTTTGTAGTACATGACTTGATCTCGCCAATGTTGACGTTCACCAGGCAGCAGGAGGAATAAAAACATGTTATAACTCGATATAACTCGTGTAATTTCGATATAACTCTTGTAATTTCTCAGTCTGAATACTATTTTGTACTTTTAAGGCGAACCACAGACGAAGCTACGGAGTCAACTTCCTTGTTACTTTGCCTCTCGACGCTGACTGGTCCGTACGTGAACGGTAACACAGGCAGCAGATGATTGGCTTCGAGAGTCAGTCAAACACCTCTCTACGCCACGGATGTTTCCTGACAGAGAGGTTTACAACTACCATCTAACACAGAAAAAGTCTACTGGTAAACTTCATGACATAATTATACTAGACAGAGCGGCAGAAAGGAGAAACTTACCTCATAAAATGCTTGCACCATTTCCACCAACACCCATTGCTGTCCGGACGCCATGTTTAGCTTCCTTGTGCGACGTCATCAGTAACGTTCAAGTTCTACAAGAATAATCGTAGATGAGAACAACATCTCTACCGGTGTAGATTGGCAGAGAGCATGGCTTTAAAAAAAAAAAAATCTGTATTACCAATTAAACTAAAGAAGTACATAGCATTTCACACAATATATACCCAGCAAAATTATATTATTCCAAATTTCTAGGCATTGAAAACAATTGTACTTTTTTAAAGATAGGATAAGATGTACCTTTATTGATCCCCTGTAGAGGAAATTTTAATTGACACAGCAGCCCCAAAGAATAGCAGCACAAGGGGAAAATATGATAAAGAAATGAAATAGGAATAGAAACAGAATCTAAAATAAATAAGATAAATTAGAAATGCTATATACAATAACATATAAAATGCAATGTAGGCTTTTCTGTACATGTGCAAATATAAAAATTAATATAAAGAATTTAGTGGTATATATCAGTTTAATTTTGCTATGTGGGGGGGTTAAGCACTGCAGCATCCATCCATCCACCCATCCATCCATCCATCCATCCATCCATCCATCCATCAATCCAATAGCTAATGTTATCTACCTACCCACTCTATCTTACTGTTACTTACCTAAGCTAGTGTTAACTGGGCTAACACTAATTATGCTGTCAACACTTACTGAGAATTCAGCCAAGAAGATCCCTCTTAGTGTCACTTCAGCCTGCTACAGAAAAATGCATTTTACAATTGCCGACATTCAATCACAAATTTGATTTCATGTAGAGTCAGTACTGTCCCTTCAGCTGGTCCATAGAATACAGTTCTAACGTGAAAGGCTGTCTGTCATGGCTGCTGTCAGCTTGTCTAAACTCTGCCCAAGGTCTCACCGCCACAGCTGTGGACAGTGTCTGTTTTTTATTTTGGCAGTCATGAAGCTTCCTCCCTCTCACCTCCTCTTGAAAACTAATGACATTACTTTGCATTTAGTTTTGGAAGGTTTATGCTGCCCTCTGCTGGACAGCACTGAAACGTAACACACCTCTTTAGCTGGAATCTATCTGCTATATAGAGAATCTTTGCCTAATGCGGCTCATTTAATCTCAATGACATGTTCTAGTATCTGTAATAAAATCCTGTGATCAATCGGTGTCAAATGCAGCACTTAGATCTAATAGGACAAGTATAGAAGTCTATTGTCTGAGACCATGAGGAGATCATACATAACTTTAACCAGAACTGTTTCTGTGCTATGATGGACTCTTGACTGAAAATCTTTAAACAAACCATTCCTATGCAAATAATCACACAACTGATTTTCAAGGATTGTAGAAATAAAGGAGGTTGAATATAGGTCTGTAGTTGACTAAAACACAAGAGTAGGCTTTTTAAGTAGGGTTTAATTACCGAAACCATAAAAGCCTGTGGTTCATAACCAGTTAATACAGATAGGTTGATCAGACTTAGTGAAAACATCCTCGAACAGTTGGAACAGGGTCTAGAAGACAGGTCGATGGATTAGATGAAGAAACTGTTGAACTTAGTGCAGAGAGATCTACAGGAGAGAAGCAGTCTAAATATAAACCAGTTACTGTACTGGACAGTACATCTGAGTCAGCTGTGGGGAGGAGACGGTGAAGATTTTCTTGATTTTATTTGTAAAGAAATTCAGAAAGTTGCTACTACTGAGGGTTAAAGGAATAGACGGCTCAATAGAGCTGTGAATGACTTTCAGCCTGGCTATAGTGCTGAACAGAAACCTGCATTTGTTCTTGTTTTCTACTTTTAATGATGAATAATCATCAACTTGTGTGGCAGTAAAGTGGAGATAGTTGTCCTCCATTATGTTGACACATGCCAGTGGACTAAATAGCAATGGAGTTCTTTCTTTAAAGAAGAAAATCCATTAAGAGATGTTGATTAGTCACAAACTGTCAGACTTCAAGACTCATTACTGGGGTTCTCTATGAGTGTTCTTTAAGACTGTAAACTGTAACACGCACTGTTTAATGTTCTCTAAAACTGAAGCCATAGAATCTAATAATACATAAGCCCATAATGTATTTAATCTTAAACCTCTGCGTCTAGAAGTTGATCACAAATAATAATAATAATGATCAACAATAAAAACAATAAATAATCACAAAAACCACAATTTGCAAGTAGCCAAATAAATCAGATCCAGACATTAAATCTCATGGATTAACTAAAACTAAAACCAGCTGTTCTCATCAGAGTCAAGTCACTGAGTGTGAGTGAAGTAGGCTGGTAACCAGAGTGTAAGTAACTGAGTGATGAAGTGAAGTGTATCCAGTTTTTATATGACCAGACCAGCCAATCAAAACTATGACTATTTGAATGTGGCATGTTTATGATTGGTCAAATGGAGAAGAACTAAATAAAATACTTTATTTCTTTAATTTTGGGATGAAGCGGGATGAATTTGTGAGGCACTGAGAGCACTTGGTGGAAGAAGAGCACTACAGAGGATCATAAACACGGCACAGAAGGTTATTGGCTGCCAGCCCCCGTTATCTCAGCAGAGCCAAAAACATCATCAAGGACTCCACACATCCTGCTAGAGCTGCACAATTAATCGAAATATGATTGAAATCGCAATATGGCTAAGTGCAATATCCACATTGCAGGAGCTGCAATTTTTTTTGATAAAGGTAAAATGTGTCACAACATTGTTGTGCATTGTTAGCACCATAAGCATCGTGGTGCTACAGAGACGCCCCAGCCTGCAAATCATATTCTCCAGACGTACCAAAACATGTAAACATGTTTGTTTGGTATAAGACCAACAAAAATCCCATTATCATAATTCTTAAATTGCCAAAACACACACCTCTAGACTCAGACACAGTTTCTTCCCAGAGGCCATTAAAGCACTGAACGCTATGCAATAATCATCAACCAACTGTTATTCATCCCACACTGTCGAGAAGTACCCATCCAAGAGTCACACGATCACACCAGTAGGCATGGAGGATAACTCAAGCACTCCTGCCGGGAAAGGAACCTTCCTCTGCCGAGTCCTCTTCAGGTGCAACCACTTCAGCAAGAGAGAGATTATATATACTTCCCTCTTCCTTTGTTCTTTATTTGACCTCAGCCATAGTGTGTGCATCCTGTAAGTGAGTTACCTTATGTAATATTCAACTTACCTATTATGGCACACAATTCGCTGTTGAAATTTGATTTTATGTTACTAATTTTGTTCTCTTTTGCAGAATATAAGCCACACACATACAAATGGAAAGAAATCCAAAAAGAAATGAGAAGAAAATCAAAGCTCTGCATTATTGAAGCTTGGAATCCTGCCTCATTTATGGGTCTCCCTCAAACACTCAGCCTTCCCTCTTTGCCATTAGATTTGAATCTAACACACAGTCATCTACTCATGCAATATTGTATTCATACATTACTTATTAGTGTGCAATACCAAGAAATACCTCGACATCTGAATGTTTGTACGTATTTTGTTCTTTTCTTGTTATTATTCTGTGTGTTATTGTTGTGTTGTTTTATTAGTATGCATCAATTAAGGAGCTGTGCTCCAAATTTCGTTGTATGCAGATCTTACAATGACAATAAAAGATTTGTATCTATTTCTATTATATTTCTAACCATCTTGATACTCTCTGCTCTCTCACCTGTCAACCTGGAGCAAGCAGGTGGTGGGCGGGGCACAAGGCCTGATCCACATTTCTCAATCAGGAAGTAAGAGGAGATGAGCTTCAGACCCAGTTTAATGTGTGAAAACATGTTAAACACATAGGCCAAAAAATATTCTCAACCCTCTCTGCATTAAAGACTGCTGACACTTCTCTGTTGTTGCAGCTGAATAGTAAAGAACCGTATCATCTACATAAAACAGAAGTGGAACAATCAGCCTTATTGGAAGGATATTCATATATGTAGATTGAAGTACACTTCCCTGTGGCAGGAATTGTATGAAGCTAAGCTGGAAAGGCCATTTTGAAGATGAAAATAATAGTTTCTAAAGCATTATTATTATTATTTTATATACAGTATATATATGTAATGCTGAATAATACCAAAAACACATACTGTCTGCCATGAAGTCTCCTGCAGACCTATCATGCTTTTTGGGTTTTGTTTATATAATGAAAAACAAAAGCAAAAGAAGCATAATAGCAGACTACAGGTCGTGGCTGAATCATCGTCATTGGGGAGTGTGCAGTGGCAGCTTGTGTGTAAATGATCTTCCAACTGGAGAATCAAAGAACCAATTAAGAGGCAAGAAACAGAAGATGCTTGGTAATCCTTTCAGAGCAAACATCTTTAGTGGTCATTTAAATACACAGTGTTCTGGCAGATTAGAAAGGGGAAACATTACAAAAGAAATCCAGAGTCTCAAGTTTCCTAGTTTACATACTGTAATTGTTACATGATTAACCAAATGCCACATGTGTTCCTGTTCTCAGTTTCAGACATAAGACACTAGGTGATATTAACATTTTTACATCAGCACTGATAAAATTATTTACATTATTTTACAAACATTTCAAACAGGCTCAGAATAGCTTAAGACTGTTTGCTATTCTAGGCCTTTCAGAACAAAGGAAATACAGAAAAACTACAATCAAACTAGTGACATTTTTTTGACACTTTTCTGTGGAATATGACAAAGTTTATCACTGGTTAATAATGTGAACGGTCCCGTCAAAATGATCCAAAAAGCTAAAGTCCAGCTTAAGCTTGCATTTCATTAGACATGCTGAGCCCTTTAAATTCGCAGTATTAAAGATCAACTGTCAGTGACTGGGTGTTAATGTACAGATGACTGGATTAATCTGGTGATATGAGGATGAAGTGGTGACAACATGATCATGTTATTGTGGAACTCTTATCACACCCAGCAAACATATCGTGTTGGGTTCTTCAGTCTAAAGATCACCACTGGTGGGAACTCTCCACACAGGAGGTCCTGAAATCTTGTGGTGGACTGGATCCCTGCTTTGGGGACTTGGAAGTCCCTGGAACTAAATCTGGGCTCTGCTCAAGAAGTGATGTTAACTGCAAGTTCCAGGTACTTTGTTAGCAGTACCTGGAAGTTAGATTGTTAGCAGTGCTGTCAATTGTGATTGGTCAAACAACAAGCACAACAATAACCAGCATGTGACATCTGGAGCAGGACAACAAAAACTTAACAAAAGAAGAATAAACACAGTGGAAAACGCTCAGTGGACAAACCAACACTGCAGAACCTTGATATAATGTTAATGTAGTTTAACATGATGCCATTGACACAGGCTGGTTTTGTTTGCACTGTTGGTGGAACTATGTTTGGGCTCTGCTCAGAGGGTGATATGAAAGGTTCAGGAACATGTGTCTTAACCACTATTTCACTACTGTGTGGAGCTGGAGAACCAAAGAGAAGAACAGTGGAGAACATCTGCCGGACAAGCCAACACGTCCAGGGTTTCACTAGTGTTTGGTGACAGAGGCGGTGCCACAGATTCTTCATCAGCAATAAATCTTCACATAAATAATATTAGAGCCACATCTTCTATAGTTGTCCGTTTGTTTGCCTTCTTTGTTTTGCCATTTAAGAGTTTATATCTGAAAATGTCCTGGTTTGTAAAATACACTGTGTATATATGGAAGAGTCAAGTAGCAAAGCTCCAGGTTGTAGGTTGTTAAGCTTCTTCCAAACATGATGAAGATTGTCTCACTGTTGCATTTTTAATGGTTTATATCTGAACCATCCTGGTTTGTAAAAAGCCGTGGAAACACAGTGAAGACCTGTACATGGTTCAGGTTCTGTAGAGGCCCAGGTTGTGGTTCCTGCAGTGCCTCCTGAACATCACTGGGTGGATCTACACATGGGTTCGAGTTTCCATGTTTGCTACCATGTAGTCTTGGTAATTTTCACCATGCTGTGTGCTGCGTCTACTTTCACACAGAACCTAAAATAATGTATTAAGTAACACTCCATTCATGCATAACAAAGTTATTCAGTACATCAACACAATGAGCAAACAAACAAAAAGAGAATGCATTTAACTTATGTTCAGTATGTCATCAGAAAAATATGAAATGATCAAATCATTTCAGTGTTCAGTGTCAGAGCTTGTAGCCAAAATTCTGTCATGACAACATTTCACAAACAGCATTGTGAAGTGTTCAGAAAATCAAAAAGTACCTGCAGTGTGCTGAATAACATTCCCACTGGGAGGCTGGGACTAATGCTTGAAAACTGGTTGGTTATGTTTTCTTTTTTTTATCTTATTCTGTCTGCATTGTGATTCAGTACATAGCCATAGCCCTGCCGCTTCATCAGTCCTAAATACCTAACTATTGTGTTAATGAAGCAGAGTTATCACAGGCCCATGTGTTGTGTTTACTGACACTACAGAGGAATAGGTCTTGGTCATTTTCCCACCACTGTTTATCAGGAGCTACTGTTTGTGTGAGGGACTCAAACTGGGGCTGTTGTCGGGATGGTGTGGTAGCTGACATATGAAACACAATTTGGGGTTGGAGAACCAACTTTCAAATCCAAACAGACACATACAAGCTAACTTGAGCCAAAAAAGAAGTTGTTTTGTTGTATAGAATCACCTGTATTAACATTATATGCAACAATAATCAATGCGGTTATGTGTTAATTACAAACCAAATCATTTTTCCTCTTTAAGAACTGGGATCTGATCACAGTGTGGCCAGTCCAGAAGCATTCAGACTGAGATGTGTTCGTGCATTTACACCTGCATTAACATGTTTCACCTGATCCACACATGATATCCAAACACACCAACACAAGAAACAGGCTGGAAGACAGGGTCAACATGTTGCCATGGGGATCATGTCGACCAAGATCAACATCTTGTTTCCAACTACCTTTGATAATCACTTTAAACGGACTACAGTAGCTCAGCAACAAACATGCAATATATGTGCAGCAAAAATAAAAGTACTCATGGAAGAACATGTTGGTGATAATGACCATGGAGCAGTATGAATAGCTGATATGATGTTTATGAATGATGGTTTTAGTTGTTTAAAATAAAATCAAAACACGATATTCTACATATTATTCTACTGATGAACTGAACAGGAAATTATATGAAATGACATAAAATCAAAAATGGAATATTGTTACAATAAGAGGAGAAGGAGCAACTTGAAATACTTTTGTAAAAATAGTTTTGTACCTTTGGTTAACTTAAATACTAATTCAGCACTGACTGATTACATCTGATGTCATTACTATGTGCAAACATCAACACCTTCAGCAGCTTGACTCGTCCTCAAAACGTAAACACCTAATCTTTGATACAGTCGCTAATATTCAACCAAATTAGGCATTTTCTAATACTGTTGTTACAAAAAGAGATTTGATTGGTGTTGAATATTATACACAAACAACATAAAGGCTTCAGTACGCTTGAAACAAAGTGCTTTGATCATTTAAAAGCATCTGAAACCACTTTTTCAACACTGGAATTGGAATTGGGAGGGTTCTGCCTCTGACTATTTTTGCAACTTTCGGAATCACACAATCTCATCATGCCCACTTTTATGCAGCAATTAGCCAGGTGTGTGGAGATGTGACAAAGGGGCAGGTCACTTCTCGTCTGTACAACTACCTTCAACACCACAAATGCTTTGACACCATCTGAATGTGTGTGTTATCGCCATTTGAGACTGCAAGACACAGTTCTTGGAGAGAGGTCGGGAACACTTGAAACACTTTCGTCGTTCATCAAAGGTCGGACAAAACCTCATAGAACCTGTTTTGTCCAAAGCAAACCTTAAGTAAACCTTCCCTCCCTGACATATGGAATGACCTACGAAGACTTCATTGCAGTTTTAAAAAAAATGCTATAAAATATAAAAGCTGTACCTCCAAATTCATATCCACTCTGTTCAGAGAAAAGTCATGATACATAATTACACTGATAATGACAAAGTATAACAAGTGATAGTATGAAGTGGGCATAAGGTGTGCCTGCTTGAGGAATCATCCAGTGCTGGAGCTGTTGACTGGAAGTGAGACCTGATCTCTGTACTGAGTGTCTGCGCCATCATTCACTGTCCAGCTCCTTGAGCTCTGATGACGGACTCTCTCTGGCTGGCAGGAGGTCATAGTGACACGGGATGTGGCTGTTTTTTGGTAGATCGTACGGATCCTGACCAAACTGTCCATGGTCGCTGCCGTCTCCAGGGGGCGGGATGGTGCTTAACGTTGGCTCTAAAATCAAAGAAAGGTGAGTCAGCAGTTGCAAGACGTAAATTAAGTATAAAGCTAAGGTGCAAGGAATAATCCAACATTTTGTAAAAAATTTGGAAACATCACATCATCAACATCATCTCAGTGCAGAGGTAGGTCCAGGACATGTTTAGCCTAGCTTAGCACAGGAATTGCAGGGATTTATCCGCTGCGACTGGCTGCCTTGACGACAATTTTTGTCATATTTAAATATCTATTGTACATATTATCATATTATCTTTTCTCTGCATGTTAGCTTTTCTGCAGCAACTATAGCAACAGTTTGCCATCTTGTTTGCTCTGTGTGGTTTTTGTCTGTACAAAATGCAAAAGATTTTTATAAAAACACATTGTTTATAGCATGGTGGATTTATCTGGATTGATGCATAATTCAAAAAGCTATGCTAGGTAACATTATCTTCCTTGTTATCTTAGCTACAAAGCTAAAGTCCTCCCTAGTTTTACTCCACTGTGTTTATGGTGTTGTGTTTGTTTTCATGTTGTTTGTTTGATGAAGTTTCATATTATAAGGCTTGTTTTGCTTCAGCTCTGGGTTCCAGCATTGTGTCGTTGCCTTAGCAATGCACGTCCATGAATTTGGGGGGGCGGAGCTTCTGAAGGAGCACTGAAGGGTGGGATGTATTTGTTTTGCTGCTGTTTTCTGCTTACTCTACCTTTAATGCAACTGAGGTATACTTCTCTATAAAGCACTCACAATGACAACAAAACACATGTAGACTACAGCGCCTCACCAACTTCATAGACATTGCGGTTGTTGGCGGGGTTGCTGTTGCTGATCTCAGTGTACGGTGAATCCCGTCTGGCTGGTGACTTCATTTCCACGTAGCCACACTCTGTGTTTTTGGCTGTCAGTAGGGGAGGGTCCTTTATCGTGGCGTACGGGTTTTCAGAGCTGTTGAGGGAACAGGAACTAGCGTGGTAGGGCGTACCCTTCACCAGATCTGGATGACATGGACAGAGGAGCCAGTGAGACGTGAACACCAGCGGTACACTGTCACCGTTCAGCATTTATTGTTGGAAATCCAGAACCTACCTCGTAATGATTTCCCCATGTATCTCCTATCGATCCCGTACGCTCCTGGTATGAAGAAAAATGGAAAATTAAATGGTGGAAGCAAATATGATGTGAGCGACTATTATGGCTACATTATGTTGAGTGTTCATCATCATCATCATAATAAATTAAGAACTGTGGTTGCAATAGAGAAAAGTCTCTTCCACATCAATCAAGATGCAAAGACAAAAGAACTGCCAGTAAATTATAGTTGAATAACTCCACATCTCCGCCAAGAAGCAATGAGACTGTGGACTGTTGACAGTACAGTGGCAGCTTTACCAAGGCAGTGTGTTTATGACACCCCCATGGAGCTGCTGTGGTAAGGATGCATTATCCTTCAACTCTGCACCAACTCCAACATACTGTTCTGCTTTTTTTCTGATGCAAAGTCGCTCCCTAATCACTACTCGAAGGCTATGTTCACATTACATGCTGAAATTACCCAAAGTGACCAAGATCTGACTTTCTCATATCACATCGTTGCCACTTGCGCATGTGGTCCTAGATCCGATCTCTGGCTATACACCGTTGGTCATATGATTTATTACGGTTCACTCATTGGTATTTTAAGTCTTATAGACTGAATAGTTCTATTGAGACCGGGCTTGTGTCCCCCAGTTCCTGAAGTGCTTGTAAGCAATGAAAAAAGCCTCTTCGTTGGAGTCAACCAGTCAACTGTCAGCTGTTACTTCAACACAGAGACTGGAACTGTCATGTAGTAAAAGACACAGAACAGGGTGCTGTAAACTGTATATTCAGGAGGAGACTGAACCCTGTTATGTGCACCAATATTTATTCCATGTAACGATGGATAACAATCTGTCTCCGCAGGTGGGGCATGAACCTACTCACTGGAACGTCACTAAGCCTTTAAACACAACAGTGCTGGTATATATAGTGGAATAGAGGTGCTCTATCATTTACAGCCAACAATACACAAAGACACCAACTTGCAGCATTAATATCTGTGAGTGCACAGTGCAATACAACACCCTCCATGACTCACCCAGTTCATTGAAGCAGTCCCCTTGTTTCCAGTCTGCAGGCAGGGTGCCGGTGTGATCAGGTAGAGGAGCCCCTTTCCTCGGAGCCACGTTCTTCAAGTTCACAAACAGCTGGTTGTTCTTCTGCAAATACATCATTGCATAAAGTTAAAGGGACAAACATGAGTTGTTAGAATATTTTGTACCACTTCATAATAAGACTCCCCTTAAAAAAGATTCATAAATTGTTCAGAATTAGGATATTTATTTGGTTGTTAACACTTAAAAAAATAAACAATCATAAATAAACAATTCTAAACAAGTTATAAACACAGTTCTCATACTTTGATGCAGGCTCACTGTTTGGCAAGACAAGTTTATGCTTACTGCTCATTAAAGTGTAAGTAAATAATGAGATATGAGGCTTAACAGTACAGAGAAATGTGGGCTCGCTATTAGGCAAGCAACAGGTCACTGTTGGCCTTGTTATCTAATATGTTATAACAGCTTATAAATGATTTATAAAATGTTAAAAAGCTAATTAATAAACTAGTTATAAACCACTGATAAATCCTTTATAACTGTTGTCTATTGTAAAGTGATGCAGAATATTCATTATTCAAACAAACACACTTTATAATGATTCTCACTTCCATACCTTTCCATAGGGGCCGTTGTTAACTCGTGGGGGGCTGATGCACTGGGTCAGAGTGTGGTAGCTGGGGTTGGAGAAGTAGTTGCTGGGGTGGGCCTCACATGCTGGTGGGTGAGCATCTGAAAAATGACCAGGATGATTCAATTCATGACACAAAATTAAAAGTGTTTCATTTTCATACAGATCAAGAATCAAGCGGACCATACAGTAAAACTAATCTGTTGCTATATAATGACTTACTTACTTCATGATTTATTTCTAATTATTACACAGAAAAACATGAATCACATTGTGTAACCAGAGAGCTTCCTTGCTTTTATACACTGTATAATATCCTTGTTCACAGCATTTCCCCCCTGTAATGTACCTGTAACGGTGTAATCCGCAGTGACCCTCATGGCAGGAGTGTAGGTCACAGCCGGCATGGTGGGCTCTTTGCCCTTCTGCTTGTTTCTGTAGATGATGAGGAGGAGCAGGAGGAAGAGCACCAGCAGCACCAGGATGATGATTCCTGCGATGGCTCCGATCTGGTAGGTGTCTACCGGCATGGCTGCACTGGTCAGACTGTTGAGGCTGCCCACCACCACCACACCAGCTGCAGGCAGCAGGAGGAGGAGGAGGGAATATACAGTCTGTTCAGTCTTACTCAACATTTACATTAAACAAAATAAAACTAGACAACATAGTTATTTCAAAAGTAGAAGACTGCCAATGATGAGTCAAGTAATCTGACTGCAGTAAACAGATCTGATTCCATTTGTACTGAGATCAGATTGCTTATAGACAGATTTAGAAAAGAATAACGTACAACACATGTTGAATATTGATTCCCTGAAAACATCGGGACAATTTAGAAATATACTATAAAATCTTTAAAATCTTATTTCTGTGAATGTAACTGTTTTTATTTTTATTACGAATTTATTTTTGTTTGTTTTCTTTCTGCTTATGTAATCTGTAATCTGTAATGTAATAAATAAAGGTTGATGATGATGATGATGATGATGATGATGATGATGATGATGATAAGGCTTCACCTTGGTCACAGCGAGCTCCCTTCCAGCCTGGGTTGCAGTAACACGTTCCGGTCATGTGATCACAGGTGGAGTTATTCAGACAGTCACACACCTGACGGCAGCCGTAACCATATGAACCAGGAGGACACTCTGGAAGTGAACAGGTGATTTTTTAAAGCAGCAGAAATGGGGACAAGGCATCTAACACAAAGTATCTGTATGGGATAACATCACTGAAGTTACTGAGAGAAGTTCATATTACACTTGAATTATGGAGACAGTTTAAACACACACACACACACACACACACACACACACACACACACACACACACACACTTAAAAAAAAATCATTTTATTTACCTTAGTTAATTATACATAATATATTCTTTTTTTTCTAATTTTCATTTCAATTGAATTGTATTATTCTTGACACTTATTGTTGCTGACCTGAAATCAGGCCAATAAAGCATGATTGAAGATTGAATTGAGAAATTGTAAAAGAAAAGAAAAGAAAAGAAAAGGGAAGAAAAGAAAAGAAAAAGAAAGACCGACTGGTGACCTCAGGTGGACAGTGGGACGTACTTTGTTCACAGTGACGTCCCATGAAGCCGGTGCGACAGGTGCACTGTCCAGAGATGTGGTCGCAGTCGGCTCCGTTCCTGCACTGGCAGGTCTGAGAACAGTCCTTCCCATAGAAGCCTAGAGGACAGCCTGCAAGGAAGACATCACACAGCACACATCAGGACATACTCTCACTATGATCTGTTTCTGAAATAAACTACAAAGGTCGTGTTGCATACAGTACATGTATCAAAAGCAACTTCATGCAACAATAACACAACTAAGATGAAGTGAACAGAGGTGAATAAACCCCTAAAGCAAAGCCAGTGTGTGTGTGTATATGTGTGACTGACGTTGTGTGCAGTAGAGGCCGGTCCATCCTGGGGTGCACTTGCACTCGCCATCATAAGCGCTGCAGTAGGCTCCATTGTGACAGTTACACGTGTGGATGCAGTTGGGTCCCCACTGACCAGGGGGACACGCTGCAGCACAGACAACATGTAAAATCATATAAATATCCTCCCTGACATTATAAAACACTTCAGAAGCATCATGTATATTATTCATTTATCATTATTGTGTGAACGCACGCTGGGAGCAGTCGCTGCCAATCCATCCTGGATAACACTGACAGGAGCCGTCGATGGGGTTACAGGTGGCGTTGTTGGTACAGCTGCAGCTCCACACACAGTTCTTCCCGAAGCGACCACTGGGACAAACTGTGAATAAGATATGTGTTTGTTAATGTTAAGCCACTTATCTGATCTCAGATATTATCCATGGTTGCTGATGAGCTTCACTGTGACATTCTTATTGCACACAATAAGGCAATGTTGTTCGAGTGGTGTGTTACATCATTGGTTCCGACATTATAGTAAATGAATCCCTGCAGTTTAGGGATTGTGCTCGTGCTGCCAGTTGTCTTCAGGCTTCTTGAACAGCTTTGATCTTTTCTCAGTGCCATTCTCAGAGTGTCACAACAGGAAGAGGTTTCTTGGAACAGCCCTTCTAGGACTCAAACCAGCAGGGAGCCTTTGAAAGTCCACATGGGTCGACCCCTGAGTCTTCTGTAACACAGTAGGAACAGTGTGCTGCGGGGTGACGTGGCTGATTGTGCTGCGGTGCTCACCTTCGTTGCACAGCGTCCCCTTGAAACCCGGCAAGCAGTCACACTGTCCCGTGATGTGGTGACACGGTCCGTTACTGTGGACGCACTGTGGACAGGTCTGACTGCAGCGGTGACCGAAGTAACCTGGAGAGCAGACTGCAGGAGAACCAGAGGAGACTTCAGTTAACCTGATTCACCAAGTTAACAGCTGATTAAGCATCAACAAATGGGATGATCTTTTAGGATCCTTCTGGGAGTGAAAGAATCCACATGAGTTCAGGGTGTAATTTAACATCAACTTTCATATGTGATTCAGTTATGACCCTGTTAGAGAATCACTCAGACTGGACACAAACCAACAGTTTATCCAGACTACTGTATATAAACCACTTCATTTGCAAGTCAACTGAAATGTCACTAATGATCCCAGAGGACAAGTGTCTGTGAATATATTCAGCAAGAAGTGGATCTGTAAACTCTGATGGATGTTCACACAGATTATTTTACTGTTCACCTTTGTTTCCTCTTTTAAATAAGGTTTGTTTATAACCTGTCTGACTGTCAGATGTCACCAGAACTGTTAACTATAATTTGAAAGATGGACAAATGGAAATCAGACTGAAGTTGAATAAACATCCTTAAAAGTGAAGTATTAGGGACTTTAAGCAGCCACGGTTGAAGAGACAGCTACAGCATGATGCAGTGACATAGATTCTATGGTTACACTTCCTACCATTGCAGCACGACTGTCAAGTCAAGTAAATTTTTATTTGTATAGCGCCATTTCACAACATACGTTATCTCAAGGCACTTTAGACTTTCTCTTTATAATAATATTTACCCAACAATTCCCACCAAGAGCAAGTGCTAGGCGACAGTGGCAAGGAAAAACTTCCTACTGTCCACTACAGGAGAAAGACTAGTTTGCCGTACCGTGACACGTTAAAGAATCAGTACGTTTCTGTCATATTTCAATGACACCGTTAGTAGTTTTATGGATTATGATTTTATTTGTTGAAGATACCTGCTGACTTGACTGATTTTTCCTGTTTATTCATAGACATGTTGTTAACCTCCATCCTCCCTCTCCATCCCACAACCTCACTGTGCTGTGTGTTGATGAAACCAGATGGCTTTAAACAAACTCCTCATCTGATATTAAATTGTCTCTAAAGCAAAGATCAGCAGCTCTCGGGTCATTTAAGAGACATATTGTAGCAACGTTCAGAGCGACCTCAGTTTCCTGAAGAAGTGAAGTAGCTGTTGTTAGAGTTAAATGTTGCTTAGAGATCTTTGATTTCCATTACTATGGCAACACGTTGGAATGCATACACACGCTGTAGCCATCACTTCAACCGTTGCTGCTTAAAGTCCCTATTAGCTGTGAAGCAGCAGTGTGTGATGCTGCAGGACTTACTCCTCTGGCAAGTGGTGCCTCTGTATCCGGGAGCACACTCACACGTTCCTTCATCTGGAGAGCAGGAGGCTCCGTTCTTACAGTTACAGGGGGTGGAACAGTTCGGGCCCCAGCGGCCCTCTGCACACACACTGTCACAGTGGATACCTACACACACACACACACACACACACACACACACACACACATGTCGGCACAAAATACAGATAATTTTTACCACATTACAGTGAATGCATTTAAAAGTTATCTGACCCCTGACTTCAGCACCAGTCACATCACAGGTGAAGCTCAGGTGTAACAGCTGGGTTTGGTTTAGCTGTTTCACGGTTATTATACATATATACTGAAAGGTCTGTAAAATCAAAAAATGAGCAATTGATTTTGGATACTGACCACGCTGTAAGTCTTACATGCTTTTACTTTATAATCATTGGTGGAAAATAACTTAACATTTACTCAAGTAAAAGTTGATTGGAATAGTTGAAGGTATTTCCATTTCACATGTATACTTTATATTTCTACTTCTCTACAGCTTAGAGGGAAACATTGTACTTTTTACTGCTCTACATTTAGTCAGTAGATATAAATATTTCTTATTTTAAAGAAGAAGATTTTACATTAGATTTTCTGTTGAATTATTTATCTACCTTAGGTTTTTTTTCATCCATAAATGTAAAGACACATTATTGATGCCCTAAAATTATATTATCTAGAAATATCTATTCTATTTTAATTTTGTTTATTTTGTTTTATTTTGTGTCTTTTAGTGGATTATATTCCTGTTTACACTGTGTGCTTGCTTTTCTAAAAAGCCTATTACTGATGATGTAACACCTGCCTTATATTGTTGTACAATTTCTACTTATATAAAAGAAAAGAAGTCTCACCAGTCCATCCAGCCAGACAGCGGCAGTGACCAGTGGAGTGGTGACATCCATCAGCGTGACTACAGTCACAGCGTTCTTTACACTCAAGACCGTAGGTACCGTCCTGAGGAACAGTAACAAGACAGAAGCAGTTCTTTAGTCTTTGATGGCAGTTAACATATGCAACCTCAGAATAACTACAAGGTCAACTGTCATTCTAACAGAGTGATGCACAAACATGTTGGATGCTTGTTTAGGAGTGTAGGATTTGTACAGGCTGTTAAATGTTATAATATAATAATATATAATATATAATACAAAACAACACAACCAACGCAAAATCTCAGGTTGTAATGTCAGAACTACAGTATGTGATTTGCAGTGTTAAAATATACCCCAGCTGAGTATAAAATCATAAAAAGAGTGATTTTCAGTGGATTAGAGCTGTGATTTCCTCACTGCCCGTGAACACAACTGTGTTGGTCTCAAGAGGGTCAAAACAGAACAAAACAAAACTATTATTTGTGCACTCGGAGAGTCCACATCCTCTCACCTGGCAGTGCAGCTCACACTTCTCTCCCCTCCAGCCGGGGGCACAGGTGCAGTGACCGTCCAGGGCGTTACACGACCCTCCATTCCCACACATGCAGGTGAGGTTACAGCTCAGACCCCAGGTACCACTGGGGCAGTTGATGGAGCAGTCCACCCCATGCCACCCTGATTAAACATGGTCAGTGAGATGTAAATGTACACATAGAATCACATTACTTGTGATTAACAGTAGCTGTAACACAATTATCAAAAAAACGCGAGAACAATTTCTTTGAAATAATGTGAAGAGCAAAAGTTGTCAAGGAAGAAGTTATGAAACCAAAACTGTGTTTCATAATGGAGTCATTCCACTGGAGAAAAGACATAGTGCCCTACACATAATAAAATAACTAAAGCTATTCTAGTAGACCATTATCATGTGATATAAAACAGACTTTTTAAAGGTCCATATATTCTAATGGTCTCTGTCCATGTGTTGTTTGATTATAGATCAGGTTTAGGTTCTATATTAATACTGTGAAAGCATCAAAGCCTCAGTCCACAGAGAAATGCACACAGCCTGTATTCAGAAACTGAGCCTTAAAACCAGCCGTCAGGACTTCTGGAACTTTGTGATGTCACAACAAAACAGTCACTGCCCTCAGCCAGACCCCAAGCCCCATCATCCAACCTTGCAGGATTTGGTTTCTCTGAGTGTTTACCTGAAATATGCTTTATTTTTATTGGATCACTCAGAAAACAGTCATCAGAAGACATCCTCCTCTCTTCTGATTAGCTCACTGACCTGTTGTTACTAGAGCTCCAGAGAGGAGCCTGAGAGATACATTGAGATGGTTTTTGGTTCTTAAAACCACAAATATATCTTCTTATGGATCAACACTTCAAATAAAACACAGAAGAAGAGGAAAATATGGAGCTTCAAGTAAAAAAAAATGCAATGCAATACATAATATTGACTCATTTCATTTAAAGATTCATATCATATTTACTTATTTAATATTAATCATGATCTAATGTCATCCATACTCTTTCCCCTTCTGCTCACCTGGTTTACAGGAGCAGGATCCGTCCACAGGTGAACACTGAGCTCTGTTCTTACAGTTACAGCTGGATGAGCAGTTCACTCCATGTGTCCCTGCCGGGCAGGGGACCGAACAGTTGGGACCCTGAGAAGGTAGAAAGAAAAATGGTTACAGTTGGCTGTGAGGACAGAACACTGATGGCCAAACATCGTCAACAATGAAGAGACACAATCAGTTCATCTGCTGCGTTTGAATCAATTCGATCCATAAGTAGATCAAAACACTTTCCACATCTCTCTTACTTGTCTAGTTGTCATACAATTAAACATTATTTTGTTATGTGATCAGTAGATGTGTGACATCACTGATTTATCCACATTGTTTGATCAGTAAGAGCTTTGCAAAGTTGCCAAGTTTGTGTGTTTTCAGCAAATCACTGCCTTTTTTTGATTAATGGAAACTTGACTATATCTGGCAACCCTCAACATCAAACTGTATTCTGCACTGTTGAGCAGCTGCAGCCTGTCTGTAGCAGTACAGGAACTGGTGATGAGTGATGAAACAGTCAGTATTCATAGTCCAGATGTTCTTCAGCTGGATGTTATATGTAAATCTCATGGGTCAGCTGTTGTTAGCTCATTAACGATTGTTATTAAAGACATGAGGCCCTTTTTAAAGAATCAGAGTGTAAGTAACAGCTGAGCTTCACAAATAAAATTCTGTAACAATCCAAACATTTTTTCTTGAAAATCTATCATGTCAATTTTGTCTGAGATTTATATTAATTAAAAAAATATCGAATTAAAATCCCGAGAAAAAAATCAAGCCCCGTCTCAGTTTCAAATATACATTCAATTAATTTGCTCATATTAACAAACTGTTAAACCTCTGTGGGTAGAAATGTAAAACTATGAAGAAAGTTGAAGATCTCTGCTATGAGAAATCTGTTTTCCCACGGAGGACTGATGTTCCCATGACGAACACTCTGCTGCGAGGGACATAAAAGAGCTTTGAGCAGATACACATGGAAACAATGAGGACTTCTCTGCTGGGCCTGAGATCACAACATCATACTTGGAAGTGGCTGTGTGAATTTTTGGTCTGACTAAACTAAAATTAGCAGAAGCTTCTTCTGAGAGGGAATCTCTTCATCTCTTAGTGTCTTTATGATGGTTTTATTACGGCTGTTCAAGAGCTTTATTGATGTTGTTTCACTCAAATAAAATTAGATGTTAGATAAACAAATAGTTAGACATGTTGTGAGATGCTTATTTCCTTTATTTCAATCTGAGTGTTAAAGGCAAAACATGTAATTTTCTGCTGCTCGTGGTCTCTCAATCAAAACAATATCAAAAGATGGAGTTCGGTGACATTGTAAAGTAGCATGGGATCATGTGAGGTTTGGGTTCTTTCAATTTCAGTCAGTCAGGAGGTTTTTACCAGGACCTTCATTATCCACAGAGGTCTCCTGCTCTCCAAAACAAACAGACCTGCTGATTAAAACCAGTAAAAACACTGAATAAACTAGTTCCATGGCAAAAATCATCCTGCAAGCTGATAACGTTTGCTCAGCTTGATGGATAACCTTTGATCCAGTGTAAGAAGTGTCCATTATTTTTAAATCCAAAGAAGAAAAACAGGATTTTAAGAAAACGGTTCGCTGAAATTGCTGCAGTTTCTAACTGCTGCCACTAGATATTGCTAAAGAGCCTTATTTTTACTCACAGCACCTTTAATGAGATGAATGAGATGATGGGACCTGGACTGCAGACCTGACATTTTCAGTAGTTTAGTAGTTTGAATGTTTGCTGGCTGTGAGTCCAGCAGTGGAGACAGGAGATGACCACAATCAGCCACACACAAGTCTCATGAACGAACATGACATGTGGAATAAAAAATTCATTGACTTTACCGTAAAGCCTGGAGCACAGATACACTCTCCGGTCACACTGTGGCAGTCGGCACCGTTCTGGCACTGGCACACCTGCCGGCAGGATGCGCCATAGAATCCTGGGGTGCATGTCTCATTACAGTAGAGGCCGGACCAACCGGGCTGACATGTACACTCCCCTGACATCGGGTGGCAGCTGGAGACAAGAGAGGAACACACCATGATTACAGATTGTACTTTCTTCTAGTTTAGCGTTTAGTGACTGAATCATTATTGGCTGAGGGATTTAGTATGCGTACAGCACACGCTGTCTTATGTCGAGCTGAATCAGTGGATCTCTGCAGCAAGTAAACAAGATACCAACAGCAGTGTAAACAATGCAGACTAATAAAAACAAGTTTCACCGAGCTTGTGTTAGGTGAATTATATAAGAAAAGGCATTGTACTGTCTAAAGGTAGATGTCCATATGTAGTTTGATTATAGATCAGGTCTAGGTTCTATATTAATACTGTGAAAGTATCAAAGCCTCAATCCACAGAGAAATGCACACAGCCTGTAATCAGAATCTGAGCCTTAAAACCAATCATCAGGACTTCTGGAACTTTGTGATGTCACAACAAAGCAGTGATTGCTCTCAGCTGCGCACCTGGACCCACCATCCAACCTTGCAGGGTTTTGGTTTACCTGAAAAACAGTCAGTCAATCTGTGAGCCAGTCAGAAGAGAGGAGGCTCTCAGCCTCTCTTTTGATTGGCTCACCGACCTGTTGTTACTAGAGCTGCAGAGAGACGCCTGACAGAGTAGATGTAAAACTACATTGAGATGATTTTTCGTTTTTAATACCACAAATATATCTTCTGATGGATCAAACCTCAAATACAACACAGGAGAAGAGGAAAATATGGCGCTTTAAAACTGCGATCAAGGCTTACCACAGTTTCCCTTCCACATGATAGTAAGTTGATGAGGGATTCAATATCTGACCTGTCACCACATTTAACCACAACACAATGGAGAGTAGCCAGGGTTCATGCTTGAAGCCAAAAACCTGCTGTCACAGCCTCCTCCCTAGTTTGTTCTGGGAAACAGATTCTAACAGAGGTTTGATTAATCATTTAAAAAACAATAATAATTTAATAAAAAATAAATAATTTCTTAAACCTGTGTAGGAGCTGACTGACTAAGGGGCTGAAAGGCTCCATGTTTTTCCCTCCATGGCAGCGAGTGGGGGATTATCTGCAGAACAACAGGTGGAATCTCTCTGTGTTTGTTAGTTACTGTGTTTGACTGACAGCTGCTCCACCTGACACAGCAGTCCCATTGAGCAGCAGCAGAACAGCCGCTCTCTGCAGGGACACATGCAGCTGCCAGCTGTGGCAGCCTAACTGATCACTGATCAGCTGTTTACAAGGTCAAAAATCAAACTGACAACACATGACTACTTCTTGTTAACACTTCAGTTTGAAGAATACAGATTTGAACATTGAGAATAATATTTTGAAATAATTCAAATAGCTGACTGACAACATGTTGCTGTCAAGAGTTCGAAAGTGGCAGGACAAAGTTGGAACACTTACTTTTTCCAGGATTGTTTTTCAGCTGCGGTGAAGGTGTCTGTGACTTGTAGTGCTACTGGAGCACATGTAAGACATGCTGCGTTTGTGCATGTGCACAGTTAAATTGTGGCAAGTTTAAATATATTAGTCAACCATAAGTGACCACATGATCACGTTAGACTGACTTTATGAATAGTTACAAGCAGCAGATGCAGCGGCTGCAGCACAATCTGTCTGAGTTTAACAGGCCGGCTTTGTAATTGTGTGTTTGCAGATGACAACAGCTAGGTTGAAAAATCTGATTTAATTTAATTGGTGGTGCAGTGGTTAGCATCGTCACCTCCCAGCAACAAGGTTCTGGGTTTTAGCCTGCCAACTTGTGTGGAGTTTGCATGTTCTCCCTGTGCCTGCTTGGGTTTCCTTGAGCCCTCTCCCACAGTATACAGGGCAGTATGTGACAGGTAGGTGTGAATGTAAGCATGAATGGTTCTCTATACTATGTCAGACCTGTGATAGACTGGTGACATGTCCTGGGTGTACCCTGCCATCACCCAATGTCAGCTGGGATTGGCTCCGGGGGGGGGGGGGGGGTATCATGGATTTTTTTTACTCCTTCTGTTCTGTTTTAATTAATGACTGACAGCTTAATGGCAACTTTTAAGGTGGAATGTTTTCTTGAGTGTCACTCAATACATGAGTTGATGTTGTGAATCAATCCATACACCTTAAATGTCAATATGATGACCTTGACCACTCCATTTGTTTTAATGGGCTCTCCTGCATGACACACGCTTCAGTGATGACTGAATGTTCAAAACTAAATTTCAAGCTGATTATTCAAACTGCAAATATTCTATTTCCTCACTTGCAGAAAAGAAGTGGTGGAGCGCCGTTCTGGTGCGGCTCCAGCAGCACTACACCTCTGTCAGTGAGGTGAGCCCAGTCTTGCACCACGCCTGCTGCACGCTCTCATGTGCACCCTGAATGACAGGCACACAGAGAGGGCCAGTAAAAACTTGATGGAATTTGTCCTGGTTTGCCTGATGGCCAGTCCAACTTTGAAGGGTTTTGTTGTACCTGGGTAGTGTGTGGTAGCCTCCGCTGGCAGTCGGAGTGACTCTCAATAGGTAATAAAATCTATCTAACTTAATGTTAGCTAGTTAAATCTACCTTTCTCTCTGTTCTCCTCTCTCCTTGGCCAGGTGTCACCATTTTAACCATCCAAATTAAAAGCCCTCCAGTAACTGCGACTTCATGACATTGCAGCAGCGGTGGTAATAAGTCACTGTATATAAGGGAAATACTGCACTGCACAGCATACCTTTGCGTGTTCTGGGCAGTACACGGACACTTCCTGTCACACCGGAGGCCGTAGTGCGCTTCAGGACACAGTCGGACATCGCAGATCTCCCCTGTGTATCCAGGCTCACACAGACAAACTCCGTTGGTGTGGTAGCACTTGCCGTTGTTCTTACATCGACACGTCTTTGCACAGCCAGCACCATAAGTACCAACTGGACACTCGTCCTGGCACCTGTTCACAGCATGAGACACAGAAATCCATGGTCAATGATTTGAGAAGAAAATATGTATGTACTGTATGTATGTATGTATATGTATTTTTGCACTGTATACATGCATGAATATATGACTGTATGTTTATTGTAATTTTACCATACGCTTCTATACAAGGCAGAATGAGAAATTGTTTCTCTGGGACCTAGGTGCAAGACATTAACCAAGGCACTATACTACATATGCAGGTTATGTCCTTAACTAACCCTAACCTTAACCCCTTAACTCATACAGTTCATTCACAGTAATTCAAACAGTTCAAACAGTTTCATTTGAAGAATCATAATTTGTCAACAGTGAGTCATACAGATATAAAGGTGGTGGTAATGTTTTGACCAGAGGAACAAGTGTCAGAAATGTGTCGTAAAACACTTGACTCCTGATAGAAGTTTACTAGGATCAGTGAGATGTAAACCAGTGCAATTTTTTGTAGAAGTTACACACAATGCATACTAACTAAGTGTGTGTAAATGTGTAAAGTGCAAGTTTGCATGTGTATGTGCATGTTTGAATATATGTCTGTATTAAGGGTGTAATGATACATGTATTTGTGCCGTGCTGTTTGGTACAGGATGAATATAATCTATCTTTAACCATGCACTTTATGCGCAAAGATTTTTGTGTTCTGATGGTCAGTCTATGATGTGTTAGTGACTAAAGTCATACAGCTACACTGAGCCCACGTAGCTTCATATAACGCCCCGCTGGCTCATCTGGTAGAACGTGTACCATAAAGGCTTAGTCCTAACTTCAGCGGCCCGTGTTTGAATCCGACCTGTGGCCCTTTGCTGCATGTCATCCTCTCTCTCCCTCTCTCTTTCTCTCTCTCTCTTACTGACTCTCTCCATCTCTCTTTCTCTCAAGGAGACTAGAGTCGAGTCGAGTCAACCTGGTATCATGCCGTGGAAAAACACATTCTTTCTCCATTTTATGTGTTTATGTGGCAAACAGCTAACACTCACTCACAGGGTCCATATTATCTCTTCCATGATTACAGCACAAACATACATCAGTCCAACCTCCAAATCAAGCTGGGTTTGAAAACAAAATGGCCGTCTCCTGTCCTGTCATTTAGAGCAGGCCAGAAGAAGAGAGAGGTTCTTTACAGAACCTTCACTTGACAGTTAAACTTGTATTCCTCACATTTTAACACCAGACACATCTTAACATCCAGTCCAGCTGACCTCACTTTTAAATGTATCAAATCCTGTTCAATATATTATCCACATTCCTGCAAAGCACTTCACCCATGCCCACCCCATCACCACCACCACCACCCCGTCCCCACCCTCCTCTCTGGTTCTGTTAATGGTTTCCAGTGGGTTTGGGTGTGCCATGGCCGGCCCAGTTCCAAACAGTGCTGCACCGTAATGTTTGGCTTCCCTAAAACCCTTATTTACTCATAAAATTGCACTTGGAAGGGCTATTCCTGACTCGTCACTGGTCTGCTTAAGTATATGGTGCGTGCTCTCTGATATTGCTAATTATATGGCCTAAAGCCCTGCGTGGTGCTCTGCTGAGATTTGTCTGTGAAAACACTGACTGTGCTTCCTGGTTGTGTTTTCTCTACTCTCTCTGGAGGATGTGGAGGAGTTAAGCAGATACAGATGATTTTATTTGTATTTTGCTTTTGATTTTGATTTATGCCTTTGTATTTTGTTACCTTCTGATTGTTTATGGATGACATTCTGATAGGTTCCCTCTTTATAAACACCTTCTCAAGTTGCACAAAGTTTTTTTTTTTTAATATTATTTTGATGTTTAGAAGAAGACAGGTTCAGTTGAATGCTTGTTGAAATAAAAATTTGATGTGTCACTAAGTTGTTCTGCTGTTTCTGGAGTCTCTTCACTCTCTGCTTCTTCTTATTTAGTGTCTATGGACTGCCACAGGAATGAGCCTAAAACCAGGAAATTAGTTGCATTTTAGCTCCTCCCCTAGTCCTGGAGTCTCTGGTTTGTTGAATGTGTTTTAGGTGAGATGACTGAAATAAGGTGTGTGGTTAAAACTAGCTCAAGACATTTTCATGTTTTATTCTACAAGATAAAATCCATCAGTAAATACCCCAGTGCTGATTTCTTTAAGCCTTTACGTCTCGGTTGTTAACAAGTGTCTAAATGAGACTGCAGAGGTTGTCCGGGACGTTAAACATCATCACGTTGAACATGAAAACTGATCTACTCTCCAGTCCACCTTTACAGCCTGGTTGTGTTTATACAAACTGTCTCTAACTCCGTCAGAGGAAAGGCTTTGGAAGAAGAGGTCAGAGCTGAATCAAACTACAAGCTGAAGTTTAGTGGTGGTGAGGCTGAAGTCATGTGACCGTGGTGTTGAAGTCATGTGACCGTGGTGTAGTTGGTTTATAGTCTAACATTAGCTCTTTACTTCTGCTGATTGTATTTAAGCTTCAAACATCATGAAGTGGAGTTCATTAGAGAAGATGATCCTGCTGAACTAAACCTGTCAGGATCATTAACTGTTGTTTATTTTCTCTAATAATCCAAGAGACAATGTTAAAATCCCATTGGATTTTAGTGGAGGGAACCAGGGGGATGGTAACTCCAAAAATACGTTGTCCCTGCAGTGTTGGCACACCAGCTTAGAGGTGCATTATCGTCACTAAGTGGACTGGAGTGGAAACACTCTTATTCATGGGCTCTGTCAGTCTCATTATGTTCCACTCCAGGGTCTGCTGAGTCAAGTGCAACACCTTGTGGAAGAATTCAGTGTACCAGTCCAGTTCGATGTGTGGCTTCATATCAAACTGGTTTGAAAATATTTACACCAGCCCCATGTCATTGTCTGGTCTCGATGTGAGGACAATTTCTTATTGTAAATAAGAAAGTAATTGATTTATTGTCAACACCCCCTCGTTCCGCTTTGCACACTGTGGACATTGCACCAAGCTGCTGCAACACAACACGCACACAACAATGGAGGAGTGCTGTAAAAGTAGCTCTTACCTTTCTCCTGAGTATCCAGGGGTGCAAAGACACTGTCCAGTGGACAACACACAAAAGCCGTTGTTGTGACACTGACACTCCTGGGAACAGTTCTGTCCAAATCTCCCCTCTGGACATGGCTGTCCACACACTGTACCCTACACACAGCAATGACAAGAGGAACACACACACAGTATCTAAGCTGTTAATCAAATGTTTTATACATGACTTTATGTTTTCCAGGTCTGCTGATGATGAGAAGAGCGTCATGGATACAGCTTCTCTGCTACGTACTGTAGTATAATTCATCCTGGTTATCCTGGTCCTGTAATGTGCTGTGTGTATTGTACCACTCTTGAAATGATCATTGGGAGCATATATGTATGCATATATATAGTATATATGACAACGAGCCATTCTTATTAAGAGTTCACACAAACAGTTGGGGTGTACCATCCATCCTGCAGGGCAGGAGCACTCTCCAGTCACATGGTGACACACTCCTCCGTTCTGACATGGACATCTCTCCTCACACTGCTGCCCGTGTTTACCTGGAGGACACAGGTCTTCACAGCTGTGAAGAAAAACAAAACAATGTCACGGTAATATCGCTTTTGAAGTTGCTTGAGATGTGTCATAATCTTTGCAAGTACGTCTCGTGTCCCTTTTATTTTCAGTTCCAACTTACGTTATTGTGCATGGTGATTAAGGGTTGCAATTAATTATATTTATTGATTATGAATTTATTGATGCTGATAAATGTATATATGGTCATTTAATCATGTATTTAGTTTAATACATAAAACACAAAAGAAGCAAATACTTAAGAAGCTGGCGGGGATGTGTGGTTGATCAATGATTTATCAATAACTGTTTCAGCACTAATGGTAGTGGATGTTAAAAACAATGAGATAAAGATGTGCTCAGACAGTTTCCAGAAGCCTGTCACATAAACAGCAATGAAGGGGCCACGCAGCCCAGCAGGCCAGAGTTGCCATGGAGACATGATGTCATTATGTCAAGGGCATAGTTGTAAGCACTCGTAGCAAATTTCTTAAAGATTGACTGAGGTATGACTTGGCCGATTTCGATCTGACAGACAAATGCTTTCAAATCAAAAAAACATCCGCTTGGTATTAAGAACATCTTTGTCATATTTGGTGAAAACCAGACACGGGAATTTTAATTTTAAGGAAAATGCATCAACCAAGTTCTGAGGAGCAGTACTGCATAGGAGCACATTGAACTCAGCTTCATCCAAGGAACCCAATGATACGTCATATTAAAAAAGTTGCGTGAACACACCTCCAACTTTGACCTGTTGGTGGTGCTAGAGCGCATGAGGCACATACATGAAACTTTGTGGAAAGCATCATGTGAGTGTCCCCTATTAGTGTGCCAAATTTTAAAACTTTTTACCAAATGGTTGTAGGGGCCATGGCAGAAGAAGAAAAAGACGAAGAATCTATGAATTAAAAGGTTGTATATCTGTGATGATCATGGCAGAATTTATTCTTTAATCTTTTTTAAAATGACTTGACAATAATGTAAAATTCATGTCCAATGTTAAATGATAATGTTAAAATATCCTTACAGTTACATAAATGAGGAAGGAAAAAGGAAATGTTACTGATACAAATTTCCCTAATTGATCTGTCAGACATAATCAGACAGCCAGGCTTTAACTGTTGTCTATACAGATGTTATTTTGAGTATCTTCATGTCCCAGCCAAAAGTTTAGTGTCACTTCACTTCAAATAAATAGTGAACAAAGGCACTTCAGAAACTGGCTTTGGAAAGACATTTTTCAACCATGAAAACATATCTAGCACCACAGTACAAAACTGACTGCTACCCAGACATAAAACCTGTTTCACTGTAGCACTGGGCTTTCACTCTAATGTCACTCTTTGGATTAGAAACAGGAGACAGATCACACACTCACAAAGCTCCAGTATATCCCGGTGAGCACTTGCATTCTCCAGTCACATGGTGACAGGCAGCACCGTTCTGGCATTGACATTTCTGTTGGCATCCGGTTCCATAGGTGCCCACTTCACACTGGGCCTCACAGCGCCAGCCTCTGTATCCAGGAGTGCAGATACAGGCTCCAGTGATGGGGTTACACAGCGCTCCATTCTGGCACTGACATCTGTTACTGCAGTGGGGGCCCCAGTGGTTACTGTCACAAGCTGAAGGGAAGAGAGGGAGAAGAATCAAGATTTTGATGACTGATGATCGCAGGTTTTCATTTGTCATTTCTGATTGGTGGCAAAGTTTAAACAGAGTGGGCTTTACATAATATGAGCCATTCTGAGGGCAGACACCAGAGAGCGGGCATGTTACACTCATTAGACAAACAAGACATAACATAAAGATTTTCTCAGCCCTGACGACTTATAACCAACCTCTTTTCACCAAGGATCCCATGACCAGTGTGCATTACCAAACCTGATAACATGTACAATAATGTAATGTAATGTCCATCAAGACTGGGATGAGTCACATTAATCTGTTCTGTTATCATTGTGGTAATCGATGCTCAAGTGACCCATGATTAAAGAGCAACCCTGAACAGTTTTACTCTGGTGTTAGACCAGCTTTCAGAGGAATTCATCTGTGAACACATACTGGTTTTCTATATTATATAAGGGCTACAGGTTAGAGGTTATATTTTCTTTATTGATAATCCCATTAAAAGACCAAAATTTGGAAAAAACATAGCACACTCTCAGTCACTATTTTAACTATGAATGATTTGTATCTGTCTTAGATAAAGGAAAAAATCGTGCCGTTCTATTTGTAGATTTGTCAAAGGCTTTCGATACAGTTGATAATGGTCTTATTTTACAAAGACTGAACAGGTTTTGATGAAAATACTTGCAGTTTGTTTCAGTCCTCTCTGTCTGGAAGACTTCAGTGTGTTAAAGAGGGAAATACCAAATCAGAATTGATGTCCACTACAAAGAGTGTCCATTACAGGGATCAATATTGGGTCCTATTCTATTCATGATTTATATTAATAACATTGTTACATCTCTAAATAAAAGTCAATTTCATCCATATGCAGATGACACCATCATATATTATTCTGTGGAACCTGTAGAATAAAAAGCTTGTACAATTTGATACAAAGATGACAGAAATGGCCATAAAAACACAGCTGAATCAACAAAAGGAGCCATTGTCATTTCCCATTTTTCTTTAGACAGTGATGGAGTCTGGTCGTGGTAAACACAGCAAACATTTCGAACTACATGAATCTTTCTTTACTTCTAAACCTTCAAACACAGACTTCAGATCAGACCATGGTCTCTGGTGAAGAATCTTTTGCCTCATCTTTATCTAACATACATTTAATTTTAAGTGGATAAAATTCCCTTTTTTGCCCATCAGTCTATACTCAAAATGAAAACATGTTTTTGGAAATTTTTAATTTTTTGCAAATTTATTTAAAAATAAAAGACAAACTCTCTCATTTACAAAAGTATTCAGACCCTTGGCTGTGGCCAGCTGTGGTCAGGTGGACCCTGTTTGCTTTAATTATCCTTGAGATTTGTCAAGAACTTGATTTTAGTTCACATGTGGCAAAAAGTGAAGGGGTCTGAAAACTTTCTAAAGACACTGTATGTGAATCTCTTTTGGGCCACAGTGAAGCCTGAACCAAATTTGAGATTTGACAGCGAGCTGTGTGCCACCACATCATTAAGTTGAGTAACCCAATTGAACAAACTCTTGAGGCTTAAACCAAAGCTTGTGCCTCATCACTGACATGAAAACCATCAGATTCTACAAGCAATCAGAGACTCCATTACTGTGTGGTAATGACCCGAACCCACGTCATTAACCTTTGGCTGTTGGATTTCAGCCTTAATCAGACCACACCTTATACACACGAGTGAGCCCTGCCATGTATCTGGCCTTCCCATCACAATTCATAATGAAAGCTTCACCATGCATAGCCACAGTAAACTGGTAAACCTGACAATGTGTTGTACCACATGTTTATTCTAGATGTCTTTCATGTTGAAGGGAACACATCAGGAGACCATTGCCCTTTCAGGGCATGGCAGCGACTGGGGACAAAACAGGAGTCAGGGAGGTTTACAGTGAATGCCAGACCTTTAATTATGGGACTCTGCGTCATGGAGGTCTATCTTAAGTTCAGGGCAAAGTGAGATTTTTCATTAGGAAAAAATACAAGGACTTTATAAACTACACTGTGTATACTACTGTAGCACTGGAGTCAGTTAACTGTTTAGCAGGTTTAGCATTAAAGGATAATTCCAGTTTGTTAAAACTCATAGTTTATGTTATGATAACACTGTATTCAGTAAAGTAACTGATTTTATTTGAAGCACAAACTCAGACAACCTCTACGTCTACTCAAATGCTAAATTTACAATATATGCATACAAGATGTGCATGGGAAACATGAAACAAAGGAGATCTATGTCTGTTCACACATAAAATTAAGTAAGTAGCATGACCAGGAAAACAGAGGGAAAGCCTGCAACCTAATTCCAATGCAAATATATCCAATGCAGCCTTTTGATCATGGTAGTGTAGCAGTTGGTACTCTGTTCACTGTTTTGCATGATTTAAAAGGCCCCACCTCAACCCAGCATCCACCTGTTGGCTCTGAGGCTACATTCACATTAACGTGTTTTAGTTTTAAAATGCATCACTTCTGCTACATTTTCACCTGCCATACACATACTCTGGAGCGCCTAAAACTAAGACTTTTGGAAACACTGCTGACCCTGTTTCAGTTAGAAAACTCTTTGCTGTACTTCGTTCAGAGTATTTTCTGCGACAAAGAAACAAACGGCAGAGTAGACAATCTGCTTCCTGTTTACACCAACGTGTGCATGTCCAGTGTACGTCAACGGTCATGTGATCCGTGTTTTGAGGTGTGTTAGTGTGGACAGAGATTATTTCTGGTATGGAGCTAAATCAGTCATCTGGATGGAGATCACTTTTCAATCCTTAGTGCAAATTTTTTTAATCTCTAACCCTCAGACCTCCAACCGTCAGAGCTTTACCTCTGATCTCAATCGTATTTTGTGTCTGCTAAATTATAAAAACCTTTTCCCATCTGTTTTCATGTTCCTGAATGACCTCTGTAGCTGATTGGGATTCATTGCCTGGGTTAGAATATACACATGGCAGCTGTAGTAAAACTAAATTATTGCAGTGATAGTGTCTCTGTGGTTTGCGGTCACATGTGACTTTTTCTGGATATATGTTTAATGTGCAGTGCAGAGGGTGGATGCACTGTCACTTCATGAGCTACGGCAACAGGGAAGGACAAAATGAATCTGAGTCTTTTCAACTGTTCCTCAATGAAAGTATGTCTTTGAACCAAATGTTAGACTGACATTAAAATTAAAGACAGTAATACAATGCATAAGAGCACAATATTTCATACCTAAATAGAATCAAATTTCTTCTGAATTATCCAACTAAATAGAAAAGAAATGTATTTATTCATAATATATATAACTAAACTCCATTTTCTTGAGTTCAGTCATGCATGTTCTTTGAGGTAGACACATGACTATTGCCGGATTTTCCCGCAAGGTGGCCTCAGGGCAAAAATGAGCTATGGAGCCTCGAGTGTAACATAAAAGTACATCAACAATATAGGGTCTCAAGATCCTCTTCATTTAAGTTGATCTTGTAATTGACAAACCATCTGTAAAGGTTTGTGAGAACCATGGAGATCTGGAGCCCCAAGGAAGCTTTCTGCTTCGCTCAAACAATCAGTCCTGCACGTCCTTCTTAATACCGCTCATTTACAAGTCATTTACAAGTGCTCTCAGTCTTTGTTGTATATATTTCTCTTTTTTATTTCATAATAAAAGCACAGCATTTCAACTGTAATTATATCAAGTGTTCCACCCCAGTTATTTGCCTGTTTGGAAGCAGTAGAACCAGCTCTAAGCAAAACATTGACACATCACCTCATGTTGATGTGGTGAACATGTTCGCAATCAGTTTCCTATTTACATATTCAGGAACACTGAGCAACATTATCATTCATTTGGAGCAGTTTTTGTATCCACCTGAGTCTAAATCCATTGTTTCTGTGTTTGGTCTCCACCAGCTCCTGAGGTACGCTCCACTATGTTCACCAACTGCTCTCTGAGTCTGTCTGCTGTTCGCTGCTCATTCACTGTATCACAACTAGTGTACAGTAGGTTTACTGGAGCAGCTGCCTGCTGATGCAGCTGGAAACCAGGTTAATAATTGAATCCTTGGGTTCATCACTACAAATGTTGCTTTCACAATGAACATAGGCCTAGTCATTTGAGCCATTGTTAATAATAATAAAAAAAAAAAAGTTGAATATGAAGTTGAAAGCTTTAGTTGACCTGAACTTTTTTTTTTGGTTAAACTTAATTGTGTTCATTTTATTTAGGTTTTGGTATTTTTATGTAAATAAGAATAAATGTCCTTTAAGCTCCTCTCCTCTACTACATAAACACAGTCTGATGTTTATGTGCCTTGCATGCAAAGTAACACAGCCATCCCCAACCATTCCACCATTCTGAGGTTGTTCAAGTGATTAACAGGCTCCTTTTATTCCTCCTGCATTAGCCTACTTCACTCTGACCTGATAAAAAGTGCTTACTTCCTTTTCCTCAGGCAGTCTGGCCCTGTGTGACAAACAGTTGTGAGGACTGAGGGGGGATGGGTGGGGAACAAAGAAGAGGAGGAGATTAGAGATACTAAAATGCACATGTAAAACCCTTGCTGCATTCAAGTCTGCCATCCTGGTACTTTTGTGAAACCTGACCTAGATTGAAGAAAGGCCAAACTCCAGGAGCTCGGGGCTCCTCATCCACTCACTGCAGAACAGACTGTTCTCTTTCATAGGCCTATTCAAGATGGCCATGAACAAAAAAGACTGCACTGTGCCAGGGTTCGGTCACAAGGCTAGATGCATCCCACTCTCAAATCAGATCTCATGGTTTTTAAAGAAAAAATCCATAAGACCTCGTAATGTTCGACAGCACTCACATGTCAATGGCTGGTGCTCAGTGTGTTTAGTCTTCACACCTCACACCAAAAAAGACTTAAGGGGCAAGTAGACTAAAGTCGTTTCCTCATATGAACTCCTGGTAATGTCCAGAGAATCAGGTTAGGACGTTGTCCTATCACACAACAGGAGACTGTACATGTCAGA